ATTTTATTTACATATCCACAACATACTTACATAAAACATTTTGTAACCGATTTTTGTGAACTAAAATTCAAATCGCATTGATAATATTAAAAGAACATTAAATATTCAAAACAATTGATTCTCTTTCTCTTTATTACACGTGCTCATATTGTTTAAACAAATTCAAATGTTTAAACAATTTGATTCACGGCTTCCCCGCCCACCTGCCTTCCCTATTATTATTATAATTCTAATCAAGGTGAAAAATTTATGTGAAAACAAAAATACTGAAACAAAATATCAATGATAAAATGCAGTAATTTGGAATTTCCTTTCTTGATGTCTTTTCTTAAATTAGTCAAATACATCAAGCAAAACATTGCTCCGCATATTTGTTTCCCTTATAATAGTTGTCTACTGTGGATACCTTCCAAAAACCCCCCTGTTTGGTCTCAATGTTGCTCAACATGACCAACGACCAACAAATCAAGCAGTACTACAGTTTGGTAACAGGCGTCCAGTTGCACCCACGGCAGATAATAATTGCTAATCAGCATATTCTACATAGTCAACTCGATGTCTCCCTGACCCGCCAAGCGGTCAGCACATTCTGCAGTGTCAGCCGATCCAACTACGCTAACCGCTGCCATAGTCAAAACATACTGACCTACTCCAGAATACAACCCATTCCACTATTCTTTACACTTAACTTCCTCATTTTTAAGTAGTATATAACCATGTACCAAGCTCACAATAAATCAGTTATCAACACATCTTATAACTCCGCGGTCTTCCTTTCTGCCCTCCGGGAAGAGGACTCGTATACAAACGTATATTGATCTACAAGCCACGCTTGGGATCAAACATTGGTGACCCCGACGTGATCCTTTACCAACAAAGGTAAAGTTTGAAGGGGGTTGCAGGGTGTGACAACTGATGAGAAGCAAGGTTAAGTTCACACTCAGCTGCAACCAGCTTCACAGGAACCGCATAGCTTATCCAGCTTCACAGGACCGCATAGCTTATCCAGCTTCACAGGATACCCAGCTTATCCAGCTTCACAGGACCGCATAGCTTATCCAGCTTCACAGAACCGCATAGCTTATCCAGCTTCACAGGACCGCTTAGCTTATCCAGCTTCACAGGACCGCATAGCTTATCCAGCTTCACAGGACCACATAGCTTATCCAGCTTTACAGGACCGCATAGCTTATCCAGCTTCACAGGACCGCATAGCTCATCCAGCTTCACAGGATAGACAGCTTATCCAACTTCACAGGACAACATAGCTTCATCCAGCTCCACAAGATCAATCACCCCATCCGGCCTATCCACCTACCTAAAATACCGAGCATCATCCAGATTCACAGGATTCGTCATCTCCAAAACACGCGTAGTAACTGCAAGCATTATGTCGATCTCATTCATAGAGGAAACCAGTCAAAACAGAGTCGATTTACAAAATCGTCTGCTTGACGATCAGAATGAGGTACAAGGGCAAATCCAACAGGTCATAAAGAATTATAGCAAGGATTCGGCCGAACGACGCAAACGAGACGGCTATTATGCCGGTCGGCTAAGCCAGTTGAACGATCTCTGGCAGCAATTTTGTGATCTAGACGAAGAGGTCGAGAAGGCGGCACTACCTAGGAGAGGAGTACGCCTCAAGATTAACGGCATTAAAGGAGCTGGTAGAAAAATATCAGCAAATATTGAAAGACAACATCCCATCGGGAAGCGGGCCTTTAAAAGTTCCGCGGCAAACACAGAACACAAAGGACCCGATAGTCAAACACATACACACTGGCTCATCGATTGAAGTTGCTATCCGACAACTACAGAGACGATGTAACGAATTAGAATCATCTCTAGCTCTGGCGTCAACGGCGCAAACAATCACCCCAGCGCTACAACGACAGGCCCATGATGAAGTCGACAATATACCTGAAGCAGTGGCCGCCGCCGAAGCAGAAGTAAGTCGATTCAAGGCACTGTACGAAGAGTATGAAATTACCTTACTTCGAGAGAACGACGCGCCAATGAACCTAAGTCTTTCGCTTCCACCAATCAAGATTCCTGAATTTGATGTCCCTGAATATCTAGATTGGCCCAGATTCCACGATTTATTTGTAGAATTAGTCCATAATAAGCCATACTCCGCCAGCCAGAACCTACACATTCTTCAGAGCTCTCTTTGCGGTGAAGCAAGAAACATTTTGACGGATACAGCCTGTAACGAACTGATTATTTATGTCTGCTCGCTACGAGATTCGTGCGGCTAGCTCAGTATAGTTGTGTGTTCGTCCCACCAAATTTATATAAACGGGACCGCCCAGTAGATCAGTGAGAAAGCACAGAATTCACGGGTTCTTAGTGGGTTTATTGCGGGGTGATAGTACAGTGATCTTGATATGGACACTCGTGGCCGTCGATGATTCCTGGTCGCCTTGATGACTTGGTGCTCTTCTCGTTGACGGAGTGCTCCGGTTCTGTAGCTCCCTCGACGACCTCTGCAGCTCCCCGAAGATCCCTGAGGCTCCCTGAAGATTGCTTGGCGTTGCTCGTCTCGGCTGTGTAGAATCGACCCCTACTCGTAGCGTCTTAAACTCGCCAAGAGTTCAGCTGCGCGGGTTTAGGGAAGCGTCACCGTTCCCAGACTAGGGTGAACAGAGGTCGCGATCTCCAGGAGTGTCTCCTCTCGATGCACCACCGTCTGTCCCTTGCTCTGTCCCGGATGGTCCCACTAGAGTTCCACTCAGATCGCGCTGGCAGTCCAAGTTACGCAAGGATGCTGCCGAGCGCTTCACTTCGCTTCTACGCCTAGTGCAAACGAACGTTCCGCCCTAGCTTCACCCTTTGGCTTATCGTCCTTGACGTTTCCGCGTAGGTTGGTCTGTCGTGGTGTGTGGCTGCTTGGCTTGACGTAGCGTGGCTTCTGGTACTCGGGGTCTTGGTCGTACGCCGATCCGGGACTACACGACTGAACCGTAGGGCTGTTATGGAGTTCTCCACTTGAGGCCACAGACGCTCGACCGATCTCCCTTCTGGCTCGTTTCACTCGGGGTTCCGACACACGCCGCTCCGGGACTACACAACTCAAACCGCAGGGCTCTTCTGGAGTGCTCCACTCGAGACCACAGACGATTGACCGATCTCCCTTCTGGCCGATAGGATAGGATCTTCCCACGCTCACGATTTCTTGTCGCAGGCTTTCACCACTCAGGACCTGTTCGACGCTCCAAGCTAGATGCGAGGATTTCGTTGAGACAGGAATGAAAGCGGATCGCCTTGACCTAGCCGTGTGACGCCCTCTGGACCTCAGCTACCTGTGTCTCAATTCGGAGATTCCTGGTGATCCAATCCCGAACGTCTCGACGTAGCGATCTCGATCCTTGTAGGTTCCCACGGCGTTGCTTCCGGCGACTCGACTTTCGTTGCTCACTGACTGTTCACTGTACTGACTGACTTGTTCACGTGGATTATCTGGACTGATCTTGATAGATTGACTCTTCGTGATCGACTGATCCTGCTGCCAGCGCCCGGCGGCTTTATATAGGGCCTCCGGGTACCGTTATTTCCCCTTTGCGCTCTGTCCGCGGCAACTCTCCACTCTGGGTCCAAAGTCCGTGGTTCCCGTTTGACCCACTTGTCCTTCACGCATGGCCTCAAGCAGAACAACAACTAAAGGCCGTGGGCGATGTGCAAAGGAGTCAATCAGGAACCTTGGACTTTGGACCTGCGTTGGAGAGTCGCCGCGTGCAAAGCGCAGAAGGAAATAACGGAACTACACCGGACTTTGGACTCTGCAGTGGACGATGGACAAAGGCCACATCTCCGCAACGGCGCTCTCGCTCTGCCGGAGAAGTCTCCACTTTCTCTCTCTCTCTGCACCCTTGTTCTCCCGACTCTCACTCTCCAAACTCTCTCTTCACCTTGAAGTCTCCACTCTCTCTTCGCCGCGCCGCTACTACGCTAATTCGCCGTAACTGGTATGCGGCCGGCGATCCGTTATTGTTGTTGCTGCCATTTGTGGGGAGTTATTCAACTCCTCACATTCCCCCCTGACTTCGGGAAGTTTTAAAGAAAACTCGTTCCTACTCTCCGGCGTTTCCTCGTGTATCCTAGCCATTGAGTCCTTGCGCTGCTTCTGCTGCTTCCCTCGGCGCTCCCTCGTTGCTCCATCGTTGCTCCCTCGACGCTTCCTCGACGCTTTCAACTCCGAGAGTTTCTACGGCGCAAGTCGGCATCTCTGCAGCAATTTTGAAACTCCCGCGCCGATCCTCCCTCTGGTCCCACTGGGCATCGATAACTATCGGCCATCGATATGCCAGCGGGCACGTAGTTTGAATTTCCCGCGACGATCTCCGATCTGGTTCCGCTCGGAACCGATATTCATGATCTATCGATATCATCCGCTATCGATATCGCAGGTGTAGCGTTGCCACCTGATCGCAGCGATATTCACCATGATATTTCCATTTAGCTTGTGCCCATCGATCGCACTATCGTCCAGTGCTAATCGACCGCCTTATCGAGGCGCCCCCGTCCCTAGTTCATGGTGATTCGGCATTTTCTCGGTAAGTTTCTTTAACCTTCTTTTGTTTCCTTCTCTCTCATCCTTCTATCTCCTTTCTAGCACTCCTTCGCCCTCTATCTGCCCTTGGCTAGTGCCCCAGTGGCTCTGGGTTTTGTGCTGGCAACATTGCCCCAACACTGGCATTTCAAACGAGGCAACAGGTGAGTATTGGGGTGTTTGTTTTCAAGTTCCACCAGCAAATTCTCATTCCCTTTTTTTTTTCTTTTCAGATGTGATGTCGACGTGTATGCCCCATTTTCTTCACCCCCCTGTTTTCAGCCGCTTCACCCCCGATCTACGCCGTTTCGTGTTTCGTTGGAATCATTTATTTAATGCCGCTGTTCTTCGAACACCCTCAGGCCCGCGAGCCCCATCCTCACTCGGAACCCGCGCCCCTCCAACCTTACGCGCACGCTGCGCCTTCCGCCCAGGATGCGGGCCTCCTTCACCGCCTGTACGTCTGCGATCCCTTCGGGCCACTCGTCCCTCTCGATCTCGCGCCACCGCTGACCCTCGGGTGCCGACGTCTGCCGCATCAGTTTCGGCCTCGCGACCTCTCCGACGACCTCCGGCGCGGAATGTTGCCGCTTCCACGGTGGCCGCTGACCGGCCAGCGGTTCCGGCCACACCCATGGGCCCCTCTCCAGCGGCTCGTCCTTTCTCGTCGCGTTGTCTGCGGCTGCTCCTGAGTGCGGTGACGCGGGTGTCGCTGGCCCGGTGCTCGGCGTCGGTGGCTTCCAGGAATCAGGTGTTGCGGGTGCCGGCGTCGTCGATCCCGGGTTCTGCGTCGCCGTTGCCTCGGGTCTGCCTCGGACCCTCGGATCCCTTGGGCTCACCCGCGGTTCCACCTCCTCCCAGATCTGTGGTTCCTCCCCCGCAGTCGCGTCCTCCGCGGGTCCCTCCGGCCATGTCCAGGTGATCGTCTGTTGCCGCCACCGCACACCGTCGATCACAAACGCGCGCGCACTGTGGCTCACGTGCGCCGCCGGGATGTCCGTGCGGACATGGTGCTCCCCGGGATTCGGCCGTGGCGGCTCGGGTTGTGGCGGCGGCAGCGTCTCGGGCTGCTGCGGCTTTGGCGACTCGACTGGCGGCGGCGGCATCTCGGGCTGTTGCGGCTTCGGCGCCTCGACTTGTGTCGGCGGCATCTCGGTCTGTTGCGTCGGCTCGAAGCGCGGCGTGGGTGGCCGTGCGGGCCTCCACCTGGGTGAGCCCTCGTACCGCGGCGTCGGCGGCACTTCGGACATCCACCGCGGCGGCGATGGTGCCCATTCTACTGCCACTTCGGGCGGCTGGACGCAGGGCTCGGGCATGTACCGCGGCGTGGGCGGGTACCCCGGGTTTTCCCACAGCTGCCGCTCCTCCTCCTCGGCCTCTTCCAGTCGCGCCTGCCATTCTGGCGACTCCTCCATCTGTTTCCGCCGCTGTTCCTCGCTCCTGCGCCGCTCCTCGCTCCTGTGCCGCTCCTCGCTCCTGCGCCGCTCCTCGCTCCTGCGCCACTCCTCGCACCGTCGACGGTTCTCCCAGGTTGCCGCGATGATGATGTCGGCATAGTCGCTGGGTTTCGGCCGATCCTGAGGCTGCGTGGGTCCTTTCTCGTCCGGCGCTGTTGGGGCCTCGGATGGTTCTTCGTTGGCCATTTTGGCCTGGTCTCCGACCGGCGGTTGGTCCTGGGGTGGCTCCTTGCTAGCCCACTCCACCTCGGCATTGCCTGTCGGGATCTGGCCGTTGCTGCGGTCAACCGCCCTCCGGATCCGCCATCTTCTTTGTCTGCCCGGCTCGTCATCTACCACCTGGACGTCGCTGTCCGAGCTTAAGACAGGCTCCGGAACACCTCTCTTCGGGATCCGCCGCGGGACTCGGATGGGCCGGGATGTCGACCGTCCTCGCCCCGGGCTGGATCCTTCGGCTGGTTGTTGGCTCTCCATGGTCCTGCGGGCTTCGCTGCGGGTGATGCGGGTGCTCATGTTGCTGGTGTTTTTTCGATTGACTATCTGGAGCCGGGCTCTCTTTAACGATGCCTCGGTTTCGCGACTTTCCTTTTGTTAGATACCGCTATTTCCTTCGCCTTCCTTATTCATGTCCGGACATTACGGTACAGTTTCTTGTGCCGTCTTCCCCCTTTCTTTGGGAAAATGCAAACGCACGCTTGCTTTGGTCAGTTCTAAAGTAGTTCTTGGATGCTTCGGTTGTTGTTTCTGACGAGTTTCCTGTAGTTATCCTTTGAGTTTCATATCATCCTTGTAGTCTTGTAGCCTCCTTGGAGTGATTTTGTAGAATCCTCGGAGTGATTTCGTAGAATCCTTGGAGTCCTCGTAGTATCTTTGGAGTGATTTTGTAGAATCCTCTGAGTGATTTCGTAGTGTCCTTGGAGTTCTCATAGTGTCCTTGGAGTTCTGGTAGTATCCTTCTAGGGATTCCGTAGTATCCTTGGAGGGATTTCGTAGTATCCTTGGAGGGATTTCGTAGTATCCTTGGAGGGATTTCGTAGTATCCTTGGAGATCTCGTAGTGTCCTTGGAGGTCTGGTAGTATCCTTGGAGGGATTTCGTAGTATCCTTGGAGATCTGGTAGTATCCTTGGAGGGATTTCGTAGTATCCTTGGAGATCTCGTAGTGTCCATGGAGGTCTGGTAGTATCCTTGGAGAAGTTTCAATGTTGTTGTTCGTTTGCTGTTTCTGCCTGTTGCGTTTGCTCGCTTGTTTCTTGTTGTTTAAGCTCGCTTACATGTATCGTCCGCTCTTTCTTAGTGTTTACATGGCGTATTTTACATATTACAGGCGAAACAAAATCCACGACCTGGAATGGCCCGTCGTATCTAGGGGCCAACTTTGCTGCAAATCCTTCGGCCGCTTTTGATAAGTGGTGTTCTTTGGCCCACACGATGTCGCCCACTGCTGGTGTCCATTGCCTCCTCCTTAGATTATAATGCCTGGCTTGATCCTGGGAGGCTTTTTCCAGATTTCGCCGTACGATCTGAAAGATCTCCCTGAGTTTATTGGCGTTTTCGTCCGGCGTTTCGGTAGCTCGTCCGGTTTCCAAGTTTTCTCGATCGTATAGGGCGCCCGGTAGTCTGGGCTCTCTGCCTTGAGTAAGAAACGCCGGGGTGTAGCCAGTGGATTCCGAAACGCTGGTGTTTACTGCCAGCATGAGTTCCGGCCATTTCTCGTCCCAATTTCTCTGGTCCTGCCCGGCGAACTGCGCAATCATTGTTTTCACAGTCCTATTTGCTCGCTCGGTCGGGTTCTCTTGCGGGGTGTATGGAGCTGTGAACTGTTGTTTGATCCCCATATCGGCTAGGAAACCCTTGAAGATTCGGCTGGCAAATTGTACTCCGTTGTCCGTAATGACCACCTTTGGGACCCCGTACCTTGCGATTATTCGTTCTCTGAAAGCTTTCTTTAGTGATTCGGCCGTCGCGCTGCGCAGTGGTACTAACTCAGTCCACTTGGAGAATCGGTCTATCAGTACTAGCAGCATTTGGTTGCCGTGCTTTGAACGCGGCAGGGGTCCGACGAAGTCCGCACATACCGTTGCCCATGGTTCCTCTGGCACCTGCGTTAGCATTTTGCCAGCCGCTTGCATTTGATTGGGCTTGAATCTCATGCACATCTCGCATTTTCTCACATGGGCTCGGGCATCTCTGTGCATGCCTGGCCAGTAATATCGTGCTGCCAGCCGTGCAATCGTCCTTCGGCTTCCAACGTGGCCCGCTGAAGGTGAGTCGTGGTTCTCTTTTAGCACCGTTTCCCTTAGAGCTTTAGGGACGCACATCTTCCACGTTGCGACATCCTCGCTGCCTGCTCGGTGTGGTATGTTTCTGTATAGTGTGTCACCTTCCATCACGTAGTCCGGGTACTTTTGCGGTTGGGTCTTAATCTTCTCGCGCATTCCTTGAGTCCAGCTGCATGCTGCAGATGCTTCCGCCGCCGATGTCTCCTTGATCCCTCGAAGCGTTTCTGGTAGTGGCTGTCTTGACAGGGCATCCGCCACCACGTTGAGCTGTCCTTTCCGGTACGATATCTCGAAGTCGTACTGCTGTAGCTCCAGGGCCCATCTGGCGATCCTTCCTGAAGGGCTCTCAATGCTGTTTAGCCACTTCAGGGCCATATGGTCGGTTACTACCTTAAAGTGGTAACCTTCCAGATATGGCTTTAGCTTCCGGATCGCCCAGACGATTGCTAAGCACTCCTTCTCAGTCGTCGAGTAATTCTTCTCGGCGCCGTTGAGTGTTCTGCTTGAGTAAGAGATTACCTTTTCGCCTTTCTCCGTCTCCTGGGTTAGTATTGCCCCGATGCCGTAGTCGCTCGCGTCCGTCTGCAGGGTGAACGGTTTGTCGAAGTCCGGGCACGCCAATACGGGGTCTGCAACGAGTCTTGCCTTGACCTCTTCGAATGCCTTCTGATGTTCCGGTGTCCACACCCATTTGTTGCCCTTGCGTAGCAAATCGTTAAGTGGTTTGACTATTTTCGCGAAATCAGGTACGAATCGGCGGTACCACGATGCTACGCCCAGGTATTGTCGGAGTTCTCTTACTGTGGATGGTGGTTCTAGTTCGGCGATGGCTGCTACCTTTTCCGGGTCCGTGCCTATTCCTTCGCTGGTCACTCGATGGCCTAGATATAACAGTTCCTTCTTGAAGAATTGGCACTTGTCTGGGTTTAGCCTCAGATTTGCTTCTTTCAGCCGCCGAAACACTTCTCTCAGGTTCGCTTTGTGTTCTTCTAGCGTGCGTCCGATCACTATTATATCGTCCTGGTAGGCGAAAGCGTGGGGTGACATTTCCGGCCCAATTACTTGGTCCAAAACTCGTTGAAAAGTCGCGGATGCTGAATGGAGACCGAAAGGTATAACCTTCCACTGGAACAAACCTTTTCCGGGCACCGTGAAAGCCGTGTATTGCCTGCTGCTTTCTTCCAGTGGGATTTGCCAGTACCCATCCTTCAAGTCCAAACTGCTGATGAATCTCGCTTCTCGCAGTTGGTCGAGGATATAATTTATGCGCGGCATTGGGTAGGCATCCTTTATCGACTTTGCGTTGATCTGCCTGAAATCGACACAGAGTCTCCATTTGCCCGTCTTCTTCTTCACCATTACGATGGGGGAGCTGTATGGGCTCTTTGAGTGCTCTATATACCCCATTTCGAGAAGCTCATCCACCTTGGCATTGATCTCCCCTTGAACTTTGGGATTCTTGGGGTAGTATCGTTGCTTGATTGGTTTGTCGTCTTTCATCGTGATCAGATGCTCGGCCATGTTCGACGTTCCCGTCATGGTGTTGAAGTCGGCTAGCTGTTCCTCCAGGAATTTCGCTGTGTCGTTATCCTCGCTTGTGTGTTGAACGACTGCCACCGATAGCTTTTCCTCGAGCCACCCATTGTGTCGGTTCCTGGCCGGTATTGTGATCTCGTGTCCGGCGCACTTTATTACGGTTCCGACTCGCGTGAGGAAATTCCATCCTAACACCAACGAATCCACTACCCCTGGTAGTATCAGCAGGCTCATGGTCAATCGCTTGTTTCCGAATGCGATTTCTACCTCCAGCTGTGCACTGATTTCGCCGCTTCTCCCGTCTGCCAACCTAACTTGCCGTCTTGTCCTTGTGATCTGCCCGAGAGCAGCCAGATTGTCCGCCAGTTCCTCGCTTATGAAGCTCGCTGTTGCCCCGGTGTCGATTGTGGCTTTATACGTGTCTCCACCTATCGTTACCGCTGCGGACAACTGCTGCTCCTCCTCGATCAGCTTGCCAGTTAGTTTGGAGAGGAAGCATTTTGCGATCCCCGCCCGCCTCTCTGCGGCTGAGATCGCTGACCATTTCCCACTCTTTGGCAGCACTCGACGCTCCTGATGCCCACTTTGCCGCACACCCAACAGAACAACAGGCGCTGGTTTCGACAGCCGCGTTCCCAGTGCCCGTGACCGCCGCACTTTCGGCAGGCCTCCTGGGGGTCTGTGATGTGGGTACTCTCCCGTGGTCTCTGCGTTGTGATTGGTGGCCTCCACAAGGGGTTTGTTGGCTGCCTCTGTTGGTGTTGTATCGGCGGCCGCTGGTGTTCATACGGTGGGTTGGTTGCCTGTTGTCGGTGGTCTTGTAGGGGCGGTGTCCATTGACTGTTTCCACGGGGTTCCTGGTCGCCAGTGTCCTCGCACCGTCTGCACATCGTTTGTGCCTGAGCTGCTGGTTTTGCCCTGGCGAATTTGTTCTCCTGGGCAAATGTCTCCCGTTCCTTCTCCAGTTCCTCAAACTCGTCGGCTAGGTCCATGAGTGTATCCAGGTCTGCCACTGTGTATGCTCTGAGGGCGATCTTTAGGTTCGGTGTGCAGTTCTGGCGGATGATGGTGAGGGCTTCTGTCGGCGAATAATTAAGTGGCCTCATCATTGCCTGAATGTCGATCATGTAGTCCTTAAACGTCTCCCCGTAGCCTTGCTTCCTCTGCTTGACTTTGTCCGAAAGTGTGGAGAAGAAATCTCTCGGCAGGAAGTATGTGTTAAAGCTCTGGATGAATTCCGCCCAGGTTTGCCACTGTTTGTTGTTGGAGATGAACCATTTCAATGCCCTCCCCTTCAGTAGTTCTGGCATGGCGCGGGGAATCATATCCAAATCCAGGCCGTATGTATTTGCGGACCACTCCACTCGCTCCAGAAACTCGAACGGTTTCTCAATTCCGTCGAACTTAAACGACCATTCACGGACTTGTTTCGCAACCTTTGCATAATCTGGTTGGCTGGGTGTCGGAGTCCGTACCGGTGCTGCTGTTTTCTGTGCGAACTCTGTATTTTTCCTCTCCTGGCTTGGCTCCCTCTTTTGTGCCTCCTTTTGCATGTTGTCGATGCTCAGGCTTGCCAATAGATATTCCCCTTCGGCGGGAGTCAATGTGATGCTTGGGGCTGTTTTCTCGGTGTATGCTGCCTCCAGCTCGACCCAGATCCCGACAAGTTCCGGGTCGTTCTCCGTCTCAGAATAGTA